GGGGGGGGGGGGGGGGGGGGGGGGGGTTGAAGCCACTTGGAACCGAGAAAACAACTATAGCAAAGGAGCGTGTGAAGACAGGAAAGTAAGGTAGAAACCCAAAAAGAGAAGGCTCACACCTTTTCTAAGTACTTAATCGACCTTCAATGCCTCCATTGTTCCTATCTGTTTGAAGAAAGGCTCAAAAAGATCATCAACAGAGAGAAGCCCATTAGACAAAGAAAAGAGCAAAAAACAACTTCTCCCTCTTAAGAAACCCTACTAGAGTGATCACCAATGCTTCTAAGAACTTCCATTTCCAATACCAAGAAGTTCTTTCGAAGAACCCTAGAAACTTTCAAGTCTTTGCTTTCTGATGGCTACCAAAGGATTCCCAAGAGCCCTCCCTCCAATCCTTTTTCTCGCAGTACTGGTGGCAGTGTAGACATTAACATCAGCCAAAGTTACAGAGAATTGGACTTGTTCTACCAGGATTTCACCACCCGATGGGACCACGAAAATGAAAAATTGAAGAAGAGAAGCAAGAAAAAAAAAACGTCAACAACCAGGGCAAAACATGAAGATGACAGAATTTGTGCTGAAGATTTGATGAAGTTTTCAAAGGTGACTCCGACGAATGCTCCGGCAAAGACTTATCAGGTAGAAGAAAGAGAGGACCAAAAGAAGAAGAGACTTGTTTATGAAGGAAGAAGGAAACAAGAGTACTTACCAAATTCTCTAGGTGAGATCAGAAAGGAAAGGAATTGTTTGGTGACAGAAAAGCTGAAGGAACTGGAAATTGTGGATAAGGGTAATGTAGAGCATGTATTGGACATTGAAGAGGTTATTCACTACTATTCTCTTTTAACTTGCCCGGCCTATCTCGACATTGTTGACAAGTTTTTCATGGACATTTACACAGAAGCCATCAGTCTGAAAACACAATCCGAGGGTAACAATACAATTCAAACACAATTCTGTGATGAGTAAAGTTGTGGAGAGTCTTTCTCTCTCCCCTCAGGAAAATGACGGAAACGAAAAGAAAATTTGGGATTCTTCAACTTGTGTTTGTCTTCAATACTCTCCATGTTTTATCTCTTCAATCTGCATGATAACAAAATCAAGAACAGGAGAGATTTCCCCTCTCTTTTGTGAACTCATTTTTATTCTTTTTTCTTTTGTTTTTTTTTTTTTTTTGCTGAATTTGGATGTGATTTCGTTACTTCATAAAATTGTTTCATAGTTAATATATGCTTGGGAAGGCCTAGTAATTTCCCCTGTTTAATCTTTTTTTGACATTCAATTAGGACAAGTTGTTTAAGCTCACGGACACATTTTGTTAAATTTGTACATATTATTGTTGTTTCGAATTAGACTACGAAGATGACTTTACTGTACTGCGATAAGAGTAAATATTCAATATGATGATGATATTATATCATCATTAATATTTAGTATCACTTAAAATTATAAATAAACAATTAGGACTAATGAACCCTGGAAATCCAATTTGTTAATTATCAGATGTGAAAACTATTAGTGATTATAAAATTTGGTGAAATCTATATAATTAATTAATTATTGATACCACGTGTCAATTATGACATTATATCGCTACTAAACTAAATACTATCCAAGCCTTATTAACCACATTTTCCACCCGCATCTAGGTGAAGTGAGAGAGAGTCCACGACCCTTGGCTTTTTTTTTTTTTTTTTTTTTTGACGGTTAAGAGAATTCGGACCAATTTAAATCCATCTTGACNGTTTTTTTTTTTTTTTTTTTTTTGTTTGACGGTTAAGAGTATTCGGACCAATTTACATGCATCTTGACAAATACCTTCTTTAGTCTAGTTAAATGCAAGTTATTCACAGAAAGATTAAAATATTTATGAAAGATAAATCTCATGTGATCTGACTTTACAATTCATCTATATTACCATTGATCACTTGAGCTACCCCAACCTGTTGCCAACAACCCGTTCTGGATTTAGCTTGTCTTGGAGTTGAATCACATGGGCATTCTCATCATCTTGACATTACAACTTGAAGATTTTGTGATGTTTAAGTATTAACAAAAAGGGAATCCTTTGAAGCTAAGCAAGAGGGACCAAGACTACTCAATGTATTGCCAAGTATTTCAGACAGTATGTAAACTTGCTTTTATAACTTCCATGTCCATTAACATATACTTGATTCAAACCACTTTTATCTCGGAATAAATTTGGAGGCAAGGATCCTCTATTACCAAATATTTGTTATTGAGTCCGGGATTTCATATCGCGGCAACCAACATCAAATGAAAATAAAGACTGTTATAACGATAAATTTGTTCTATTATAAACCTAAAACACCATATAGGTGAGAGATCAACCCAAACTAGCTAACTAAATGTGAGAGATGAACCCAGATTGTACTCTCATATCACCTCTACCCTACAAGACAGAGGAAGGAGTGGGTTAGAAGTTAGAACTACCATCAAATGTGAGTGCAACTTCACTAGAAACTTGAATCGAAAAATAGATTCGATTATATATTCAATCTTTTTTAATTATTTTCTCTATAAAGGAAGAAAACTATGCTCCTTAAAATCCAACAGGAGATAATCAAAAGCCTATTTTCGGCAATAAATGGAAAGCATAGCTCTGAAAGACATCACTCGATACAGATGAATATAAATGCCATGCAAAACAATAAGTGAGGCTTAGGCTAATAAGTCACAAGTCACAACCTAACCTGCCCATCAAGCTGACTGTCGTTATCAAAAGTCACTTGGGCCCGTTCTCCCCACATTAATACATGTAGCTCCATGTCAATAAATTAATTTAATTATTTAGTTGTCGACAGCATTATTATTCAATATGTCGCAACTGCTATGTCACTGCGCGTTTGTCATTGTCATTCTATGTTATGATGTAATTATTTTTGGATATTGGTTCAAAATTCAATTTGGTCACTATCTATATCTACATAATAATAAAGTACAATACAATTCAAATTTTAAAAAATAAATAAAATGACTTTTGTTATTCGCGGTTAAGATCATTTTAAATTTTAATTTAAAATTAATCTAACTATTAATATTAATATCTCAAATTTAATAGAAAAATAAGCCCTTAAAAGTATGTTAACATCTCAAATTTAATAGAAAAATAGACCCTTAAAAGTGTGTTTGGAGTGACTTTTTAAAAGTGTTTCTAAAATTATTTTTCATAAATTCTTTAAAAAAATAATATTTGAAACCGTCTCACCACTCCACCACCATCACCACTACCAGCACTCCTACCCCCACCACCACCACCATCACCATTTTCATTGCCCCACCACCACCATAACCATTGCCATCACCGCCCCACCATCATCACTACCACTACCACCATAGTCTCACCACTTCCACCGCCCCACCACCATCGCTGTCGCACTCTACCATCATCACTACCTTTGTCGCACTTTACCATCACCGTTATTGTTCCACCATCACCCTTACTATCCCGACCGCTCCCCCCCCACCGCCACCCCCACCATCACCACTGTCTCACCTTCACCCTTACTGCCCCACCACTATCACCATTCCCTCTCACCACCGATTGCTATTATCGTCGTCCATGGCCACCACCCACCACAATTGTCATCTTATTCTTATATTTATTACCATTACTACCATCATCCCACTACCACTGTCGCCCACCGTTAGCACCCACCACCATCTATTGTCCATCACCAACCACTGTCACCTACCTCACCACACCTATCACCACCAACCATTATCACCTGCAATCGTACACCACTGCAGCCACCCACTATCACCTATCCCGCCACACTTACCATTGCCGCTATTTGTCACCACTTATCACACTATCGCCTAGAAGTACTCATCATTGTCTACCACCACCATCATCACAACCCATCACCACCGTTGTCATCCCACCCCCACCATTACTAACCACCATCCCTGTCGTCTACCACCCACCCACTATTGTCACCTATGGCTATTATTATTACCACGGTTGTCGTCTTACCTACCACAACCATCACCGTCTCCCACCATCACTACTGTCGCCCTCCACCACTATCACCGCTTACCCCCATTATAATGGGTGCTTAAATTTCTTTGTCTCATTTATATTTTGATTTGATTTTAGGTGTAAATACAAATATGTTGACCTTTTTTTTTTATTATTCTGTACCTTCAGACACGAAAAATAACTAGTCATTATACATTTTATCGCTATATAATACCTGTATGGAGTATTCATCTCTCACCAATAAATATGTATATATATCATTTTACCTTTAATTGAAATACGATTGAACGGAATTTATTTTTCATTGATATTTTTCGTTATCATTTGGATAAAAACACATTCAAGAACATTTATATTAAATAAATCGAACTTGAACTTAATTTTATAATATTTTTTTAATATAAAGATAAAGCCGAGCACTAGGTCCCACCTGACACGAGTCACTGCAAACTAGAAAAGTGTCGACTGGGCACCACGTGATCCTTGCTTAATTTAATCTCTCCTCGTCACTTTGCTCACGGTTAATCTTTTGGATTATTGGAGATTTAATTTTGACTTTTTTTTTTTAATAATTTCACCTTATTGTTGTTTAATTATATGATTACATAGAGTTCATCGCGTGCGCTATCTAATTAGCAAAATGAGAGAGGGAGCGCTCCCTCTAACTAAATATATCGTTTGTTTTCCATTAATACCCTCTAACATTTATATAATGTCAAATTCATCCAATCTTTTTGATCACCCGTGACGTGACGTTTTTGTCCAACAAAGAAAATTACTCTCGGTCATGTGGGTATTTTTTAGGGTTAATTATAAATTATCCCCCTCAATTATGGGTATTGCTACCATTAACTACAGTAGGTTTTAATTTCAATAAATTGATCCTTCAAGTTTTCAATTGACCAAATTAATGGATAAAATTGATTACTTTTAACGACTGAAAATTGAAGATATGTGTTAATTAAAAACTACTGAAAATTAATAAGGGCAAGTTGTTGAAATTGAAACCTCAAAGAGTTAATTATAACAATATCCAAAGTTGAAAGGGATAACTTGTAAAAACTATATTTATTAGAGGTTTTTCCCGAACTCAGTCCCTTTAAAATTTATTTTTATAACCCAATCACTTTTAAACATAATTTCTAAATTCAGTCTTTTTTTTAAAATATTATTTATAATGACGCCTTCATATGTTAAAACGTCATTTGAAATGACGATTGTGAGTTGAAATTTTTTTTACTAAAAACGTTATTACAAATGTCGTTTTTTAAGATGAATAAAATCAACGAGAGTTAACTGGTGTTAAAAAAAGGCGGTATAAAACGTCATTTGCAATAACGTATTTAAAACCTTCCTCGTTTACTTCACAGATTTTTTTACACGCATCTCTCTCTCTCACAGTCAGATCCCCTCTCCTCGGTCAGAACCCCTCTCTCAGTCAGATCCCCTGTCTCACATCAGATACCCTCTCTCTCGCTCAGATCCCTCTCTCAGATCCACTGTGCTCCTCTTCCACCATCCAATCGAAGCCCTCCATCTTCTCCCACGAGGAGCATCGATTTTGCATCATTCTCCAACCCGTCAAAGACCAGTCCGACGAGGAAGCCTTGTCTGACGAAGAGGAACACTCCGGCAAACAAATTTCTCCGGTGGTGCTCTGTCCATTTCTTCCGGTATTTTCCACCCTCTATGTGCTCTGTCCATTTGCTCGATATGATTTCATTATGGGAATAAGATTTCATTTGCTTAAGTTTAGCATGTATGTGATTGAGTCATCTGAAAGGCACTTGTAACTTGTTTATTTTTTTTATTCTTATTTTGTTTCTCCTCCTTTTAGTCTCGGGTATAGTGAATTGTAGGTTCAAATCTGATGGCATCCACTTTGTGTGACTCTTGAGAACGATTATGTCAGTACCCAATCTATAATTGCAATGCCTTAGGTTAACGGGGACCAAATTGGGTAATTTGCTGATTTTGTTTTCCTTTCTCCCCTTTTACTGCAGGCTTCCAAATAAAAAAAAAAAACAAAGTAGAATTGGAGAATTAATATGTGGAAGACTTAGATCAAGCTATTATTAAGTTTGCAGTATGTGCTGGAAACCAGGAGTAGTAAGGTTTCGATATTTGCTCCACTCCAATTTCACTTGAGGAGAAAGACAGAGAGTAAGTGGTAAACAAGGGAGACATGGTTTTTTTTTTTTTTGGTCGGCTGATGTAAAATAGTTGGAAGCATGCATTTTGGGTATACATTTGTCTATTTGTTAGCAGTTGAAGACGGTGAATATCCTTTTTTCAAGTGAGAAAGTTCACTCATGGTACCCTAGCCTTGATCCTCTTGAGATTGTGCATAGATTTAGCTTTGAGATGTTGGATTGTCGTATGATTCTACTAGTTGAATGTGGTTATTTTCGCTTTCCTCATCTTGTGTGGTTACCAAATTACTATTTTAGTTGCTGGTACCTTTTGTCAATAATACCTACCTATAACCATGTTCCCAATGACCAAAAAATGTTTCTTCATAATTGCCTTGCATTGTCCATTTCAGAGATTAAATTAGCATTTCATGATAACAACCTTGTTGTAAAAGATATGCAGAGTCTGGTTATAGAGTTTGTTGCGTGTTGCTACCTGGTAATATATATCTTGTAATGAATTTTTCTTTTACTTCCAGAACTTGAGGCCTAGCATTGATAACATTCCAAAGGATATTGCTCCTCTCCTGCAGTCCTGTTGGGTAAAAGACCCATCGGACCGACCAGAATTCATTCAAATGGCAGATTCTGAGGGGGCTGAGGGACTCCTCCTCGTCGTAGATTCTGAGTTTTTTTGTATACATTTGTTTCTTCATTCTCATACGTGTAGAACAAAAGGGATCATGTATTACAATCGAGTTTGCATTCCAGTAGCTTGAAGTTTTTATTGATCCCATTCAACCATTAGTATATAATAACAGATTGGCCAATTCAATCAAATGAAGGGCATTAACACAGGCGTTTGCAGAGTAGGGCAGGAAGAACTCCATTATGATTGGCATTCCCATCCTCACTGTGAAATTATTCTTCAAGCAAAGTTCATCGAGGAAAAGAATGGAAGCACCTCTTCTTTATGAAACTATGGAAACAATACAGTTGTAACCATACTTGTAAATTTTCAAGATTTATAATGATATTGACTATCATGTTGTGGTAACTATTTCCAAATTTAATTGATAGCATGAAATATCAGGCACATTTTTAACCATTCCAAACTATCTGCTTTTTGCAGTGTTTATGCAGCAAAATTAGCAGATCCTTCTCCAACAGACTTACCCCTTTTTGAATATCCTGCAGTTGAACTTGAAATGAGATTTTACACTGGGCTACCCTTTTTTTGTTGAACAACTTGAGAAAGTGTTCAACATCATTTTGGTACATAGAATACATAACTACAGGAAATAGATATTGCTTTCTCAGAAGGGAGGATCAGTCGATATGGTGAGACTAGCATCCTGATACCCACCGGGAAAATCAAATCCGGACATAAAATCATCACCAAAGATCACAGGTTAATGCTATTGTTCTGATCTGGGAGCTTAAATCCCTCCCCATAAGCTGGAAATAGATATCAACAAGAATATAAATATCTTCATCAATGGACAATTGCAAGCAGGCTTTGGTCCAAATTCTAAAATATACATGGAGGTTGGGTTGTCAATGGATCGGGTCAAGTGAAATTTGTTGTGTCATGTTTGAATTGTATAGTGCCAAAATTTACTAAACTCATACCTAACTTAACTTTGAACTATATTATTTGTGTTAATTTAGCCCCTAAACTATAACAGTTGTGTCAATGTGACCCCTTTCGTCCAAATTCATTAAGTTTAACGGAATTTTTCACATGCACGGCTCATGACTCCTAAATTATACCCTAATCTTCGACTCACATAATGCACATTTGAGGAATTCGGTCAAAGTTAATCGCAAATTTAGACATAAGGGTTATATTGACACAAATGATATAGTTCAAAGGCTAAACTGACACAAATCATAGTTCAAGAACTTGATTGACGCAAATCATAATTCAGGAGCTTAATTGACACAAATTGTATAGTTTAAGGGCTAAACTGATACAAATCATAGTTCAAGAACTTAATTGACACAATTGGTATAATTTAAAAGCCAAATAGATAGTTAACTCCACACTTGACCTAATTATAATAGTGTATTGTTGGGTTCGTGTGTTGTGTAAGTTATTTTTAGTGAGTTCACCTATTATTTAGATTTTTGTTACCTCATTTATCTCATGACTATTTGTTTATCATGTGAACCTGCTAAATTTAATCCTAAATTCATTAATTTCATGTTGATTTCGTGTCGGCTGAGTGTTGTATAGGATTGCCAAAATTACATGGAGGATCAGGCAACTATTTTAATTTCAAGCATAGACACCAAAAATATAAAAGAACAAAAGACTAAATAGATTAGCAAGGTTCAAGTATTTTTTGGGGTTTCATACCATAAATACTAGGTTCATCCCTTTCCTCGGAAACCCGGATTGAAACATCCACAAATCCTAGAGGTTTGGTGGAATTCCTTTTCCGCAATTGAAAACTCCCCACTTCCTCAACTGGTTTTGAGTTTGAAACTTCAAAATTCTTCATGTATTCATCAAGAAATTCTTTCATAACAACTGTAGCTGTCCCCTGAAGCCTCTCTCTAAGAAAGATAGGCTCTCTACTTTAAACCTCAACATTTAGAGCCAAATCTCCGAGGTTCGATTCGGATTTATCGACCAATGTTGAGAACTTGGTCTTCCGTACCGGATTTGCATTTTCAGAAGAATCGATCTTGGTACAGTACTTGTTGTTAGGATCAACCCACCCAACAGCAAACCATTGGAGCTTCCACAGAGATGAAGTTCTCCGGAGTCCCCTAGCAGAGATCAGGTAGATTTCAACACTGAGTTTACCCATTTCAGACCAAGTTTCTGTTTGTTGAAAGGAACAAGAGGTGGTGAGAGAAATTTGTCCCATGTGACTGTGAGGTTCTGAGACAGGGGAATGCGATGGCTGAGTGATTGGAGGAGGAGGAGGAGGGAGCGATCTGAGAAAGAGGGATCTGAGAGAGGATGGCTGACTGGTTGGAGGAGGAGGAGAGACTGACTGAGAGAGGGATATGAGCGAGAGAGAGGGGATCTGACTGAGAGAGAGATGCGTTTTAAAAAATCTGTAAGTAAATGAGGAAGATTTTAAATACGTCATTACAAATGACGTTCTATACCTCTTATTTTTTTTTTTTTAACGCCCGTTGACTCTCATTAATTTTATTCATCTTAAAAAATATTATTTGTAATGACGTTTTTAATAAAAAAATTTCAACTCTCAATCGTCGTTCCAAATAATGTTTTAACATATGAAAGTGTCATTGCAAATGAAGTTTTCAAAAAAAACTGAGATTGAGAATTGTGTTTAAAAATGATTGGATTATGAAAATAAGTTTTGAGGGGACTGGGTTTGGGAAAACCTCCTATTTATTATCTTTTTCAAATCAATGCCCAAAGCCCACCCCAAATTATCCTGTTCTCTATTCTTATACTGTCCCGAAACCCATCCCAAATTAACATATGTAACTATTGGAAATGCTAATGTTTTATTAAGCTCTCTCTCTCTCTCTCTCT